ACACACCGATCAGGAGCAGGGCTACTGGACAACTTTCTGCAGCCAATCCCCTGTGCTGGCCCTGCCCCCAATGGGTCCCCACCACCCTGATTGGTCTGTGGCTCCTCCCCCCAGCCAGCTGTGCCCCTGATCACCCCCCCCCCACATCTGCTCAGGGGCAGGCCTGGCTGGCCAAACACCCATGGCCCCTCCCTCAGGTCCTGGGCCCTGATTGGTCTCCCCATCCTATTCAAGGTTGGGGTCGGCTGGCCCACCACCCACAGCCCCCCCCCACATCTGCTCAGGGGCAGGCCTGGCTGGCCAAACACCCATGGCCCCTCCCACAGGTCCTGGGCCCTGATTGGTCTCCCCATCCTATTCAAGGTTGGGGTCGGCTGGCCCACCACCCACAGCCAGCTTGCAAAAGGGTTTATCTGTTACTTAAGCAATCTCTGTCTGTTGATTTTGGTTGTGTAAGGAAGGGGGATGGAGAATAACTTCTAAAGCATATCTACGTTAATAACCTTTAAAATGTCAGATTAATCCTCTTTTTCAGACTCCTCAGAGGCATAACTACCCTCAAGGGAGCACATAATTTTATCAACTATGGTGTAATCTTCCTTATGCTACCTCCTTAATTCCAAATGTATAAAAGAAACTGCAAAACAGCCATTCTCAGGAACATTTGCTTCTTGGCATGTTGACTGTTTTGTTTAAATAACCTCATACAAAAATTGAGGTTAGTTCCTGTTGTTCAGTTGGTTAGGCATCATCCTCTGCACTTGGGGGGGAGGGGGGAGGTTGCTGGTTTAATTCCCCATCAGGTCACATCCCCAGGTTGTGGGCTTGATCTCCATAGGGATCAGCAGAAGGCAGCTGATCAATGTTGCTCTCATATCCATGTCTCTCCCACTTTCCCCCTCTCTCTTAAAAATAAATCTTTAAAATTCTCTATGGATTTGAACATTTCTTATGTTGACACTATTACTCAGCAATACAAAGCTATCACATGCATGAAGCTCAAAAATATGCTAAGTGAAAGAAGCCACTTGCAAATATCACATGATTCTACTTGTCTGAAATATCCAGAGTATGGTAATTTATAGGATAGAGAGTAGATTAATGGTTGTGTAGGGCAGGGATATGGGGAATGACTTCTAAGGAATATGAGATTCCTTTTGGTCTCGTGAAAATTTCCTAATTTGAGATTATATTTACAGTTTCATAACTCTATAACATATTACATATATTTGATGTTTATACATTAAACATTGAATTATATGATGTGTAAAATATATATATTACTAGAGGCCCAGTGCACGAATTCATGCATGGGTGGGTTGATCCAATGGTGGCTCTCTCGCTCAGTCCTGATCAGGGCAGGACTGGCCTGGGGGACGGACTGCAGGAGGTTTGCTGGCCGCAGAAAGTTGGCTGTGGGATTGCACTGACCACCAGGAGGCATTTCCTGCATTGAGTGTCTGCCCCCTGGAGGTCAGTGTGCATAATAATGACCAGTTGACTGGTTGACTGGTCATAATGGTCACTTAGGCTTTTATATATATATATATAGATTGTAAAATATGTTAAAATAATGATGATAAAAATCATTTTTTTAAAGTAGAAAGTTATTGTCAATGTAAGAACATCTAAATCTGTAGAGAATTTTTATGAGTTTATTTGAACCAAACTAATGACTAATACTGGGAGCAAGATATCAAATGCCCCTAAGAATAACAGTTTTGTAGCTGCTTCTATGCATTTGAGATTAAGTGGAAAACAAAGTAACATTACATGAAGTTGGAGAAACAAAGCAGGGATTGGATTACAGGATACAGTTAATATGATTTTGTTCTCTCTTGAGAGTTATTGACCCCCCCTCCTTTAAAAAATGTATTTTTTTGATTTCAGAGAGGAAGGGCAAGTGAGAGAGATAGAAACATCAATGACAAGAGGGAATCATTGATCAGCTGCCTCCCGCACCCTCTCCCCCAACCCCCACTGGGGACCAAGCTCACAACCGCAACCCAGGCATGTGCCCCGACTGGGAATCAAACCGTGACTTCCAGGTTCACAGTTCAATGCTCAATCATGGAGCCATGCCAGCTGGGCAGTGCCAATTTTGAGGGGGTATTATTTCAGGTATTTGAAAGGAGTATTAACCTAGATGCACAAGAAAAATGGGCAGGGCTGGTGTAAAACTTTCAGTAAATAAGTTATAGGCCTGGAGCATGTCTACTCATCATGACCTGCCTAGTTAAGAATTTATGATCAGATCACCCTGTGAAGTACTTTCCATGGAACCACCTTTTTTTGTCCACAAGATTTATAGTTTCAGAAATGTTTGGCACTAAATTAAAATATTTTATGCGACTTCTTGAATTCTTCATGTGGCATTCTATGGGTTCTATCATATTTTAAAAATGTGTCCTTGTACAGACCAGTATAACTTTGTGTATTCTTGTGTAGAAAATTGTTGCAGTAATTGGTTACCTGTTCAATCAGGTTAAATGAAACTTTGAAATTAATGGTAAAATTGGTAGATTTAAGATTGGTAAAATCATGTTAATAATTTCAAAATTAATCTCTCAATATGGGGTGAAACTTATACTCATCATTGACAAAATAATCTATAAATACAATTAAAATTGTGGTACTCACGATGGGTCATTAATGACTGTTTTCAATGCATTGAGCAAATCTGCACTAGACATGGTGTTGAAGTCCATTCTGATAGCTGCTCCCTTGGTCTTCATGCGAGCAATGTTATCAGGTTGATCCGCAAACATAGGAAGGCCCACCATTGGGATCCCATGGTAGATTGCCTCATAGATGCCATTGGTTCCACCATGAGTTATAAAGGCTTTGGTTTTTGGATGACCTAGGATTGGGTGAATTTCCGTAAATTATTATTTATAAGTCTTAGAAGTAAAATGAGAATTGGGTAAGAAAAGCACTCAGGCACTGTATTCTAGATGACAGATTATTATACACATGAAACTGCATTGAAATATATTTTAGATCTCAGAGAAAGAAGAACTTTAGTTGCTGAAGAGGTAAATAGATACTGGTATGGCATTGTGGCTTGAAAAATGAATACAGGATTGTTGGGTAGACAAGTTGAAAGAGAAAGTTCTGAGGGGCAGGTGCTGGGTGGAGGGGGTCAATGGGGAATAAAGGGACATCTGTAATACTTGCAACAATAAAGATAAATTTGAAAAAAAACCCATTATGGATAAAAAATAGCATGTGCAGAAAAAGAGGAAAAAAGAAAAGGAGGTGGCATGTTAGAACATATTCTCTTAAAGAAATAGTGTAGCCACCGAGTATTACGTGTGGGGTGTCCAGGCTGCAGGAAATGTGAGTGTGGTGACTCTGGAATCAGAAGAAGAACAGACCACACTTTATCACTTCATGAAAAAGATTATGGTTACTTCTTTATTAAAAATGGAGTCAATGGTAATAAAGGAGGTGCTCTTATTTTTTAATAGCAATGAATGAATACCCATACAGGAGGGGAAAAAATAGAAATAAGAAGGGAGAAGTAGGAGGCAGAGTGGTAGTTATAGAAAAATTCTTCACGAGAAGTAATTACACCTGAAATAAAGATTTCATACATAAGGGAGGAGATGGTCTATAATGAAATGTTAGCTTTTATATGTTCTAATTTTTTCCCAGGACTGGCAAACAAATACAAGGAAATTAAGGTTTTTTGAGTTTTTGTAAAATAAAGGTTCAATAAATTTGTTTCTTTTAGAAGTATAATCACTCAATTTGGAGTTATTGTTATTTTAGTGTTTGTTTTTCAGTCTCACCAAGAAGGTCATTCTGGGGAATCCACTTATAGAGCCGAGTATTTGGCCCTAAGGTATCTGGTTTCTTGCCATCAAATCTCCATAGAACCTGTTAAAATAAAGAAAATATTTTATTTCATGAGTTGAACTAAAGGTATAGCAAGTTCAGATTATAAAGAAATTAAGAGATAATCTAGTTAAAGCCCTTATAGACAGATAAGAAAAAGGACAAGAGATTAAAAATGAGAACTATTATAACACTGGTATGATACAAATACCCACATTTTATGTGTTTATTTTTTTATATTCAATCAAGTATGAATGCAATCATGATGTGGAACACATACAGATATACAAATGAGATCATCAATGATAAATTCAAGTATTTAAAAATTTTAGGCCTGGCCAGCATGGCACAGTGGTTGAGCATCAACCCATGAATCAGGAGGTCACGGTTTAATTCCCAGTCATGGTACATGTCGGGGTTGTGAGTGTGTGGAAGGCAGCCGATCAATGATTCTCTCTCATCATTGATGTTTCTCTCTCTCTCTCCCTCTCCCTTCCTCTCTAAAATTAATAAAAAGATATTTAAAAAAAATTAGGTCTAGTCATTATAATTCTAGTGCAAAAAAAGTAGTTATTTACTGCACATATCTAATCTAAGAAAAGAGAAACATGCAAATTTACCATACATTGGCTACAAAACAAGCCATGACCACCAGCCAATCAGAGTGACTATATGCAAATTAACCCAACCAAGATGACGGCCAGCAGCCAGGGAGCTGGAGCAAGCAGGAGGCTTGGTTGCCCTGGCGATGGAGGAAGCCAAGCTTCCCACTGCTCTGGATAGCTGTGGCCTCTGCTAAAGGCAACAAAGTTTCAATTATAGAAGCTAAATACTTGCTTCCAGCCAGCCTCTACTGGCAGTTTGGGTGGCTGGGGGCCGTGGCCATCCTGCAAACAGCCATCAGCCCCTCACCCAGGCTGGCCAGGCACCCCAGCAGGACCCCCACCCTGATCCGGGACACCTTTCAGGGCAAACCAGCCAGCCCCCACTCATGCCCCAGCATATAATAAAAGGGTAATATGCAAATTGATCCTAACAGCAGAATGACTGGGAATGACTGGTCACTATGATACACACTGACCACCAGGGGGCAGATGCTCAATGCAGATGCTCCACAGGGGGAGCTCTGCTCAGCCACAAGCCAGGCTGATGGCTGTCAGCACAGCAGTGATGGCAGGAGCCTCTCCTGCCTCCTCAGCAGCACTAAGGATGTCCAACTGCAGTTTAGGTCTGCTCCCTGCTGGCAGGTGGACATCCCCCGAGGGGTCCCAGACTGCAAGAGGGCACAGGCCGGGCTGAGGGACTCCCACGAGTACACAAATTTTTGTGCACCGAGCCTCTAGTACTATATAATAGATCCCTAATATGCAAATCGACAGAACGACAGAATAACTGGTCACTATGATGCTCACTGATCACCAGGGGGCAGACACTCAACACAGTAGCTGCCACTTGGTGGGCAGTGTGCTCCCACAGCGGGAGGGCTCCTCAGCCAGAAGCGAGGATCATGGCTAGCTAGCACAGCAGTGGTGGCAGAGCCACTCTCACACACATGACCATGCCAAGGTGCAGCGAGCTGAGCAGTAAGGAGCAGTGCACAGGTGGGCAGTAAGGAGCGAGGGGTCCTGGATTGTGAGAGGAGTGGCCCTAAGCAGGCAGTCAGACATCTCCCAAGGGCTTCCGGACTGCAAGAGGATGCAGGCCGGGCTGAGGGACCCCCCCACTCCAGTGCACGAATTTCGTGCACCGAGCCTCTAGTTTATTTATAATTTCTCTCATTTTGAAATGTGATATTAACCTGTATTTTTAAGTGTTACAGAAGGGAGTTTCCTTCTATCCACTTGTCTCATAAGTTATTTTTTTAAATCAAAGATTTAACTTCATTTTCACATTTTTTTTCTGTTTTATTTGTCTATTTAAAGTCACTAATTATTTTTTTATTTTTATACTTTTTCTTTTTTATTGAATTTATTGGGTGACACTGATTAACAGAACTATACAGGTTTGGGGTGTATAATTCTACAACACATAATCTGTACACTGTATTGTATGTTCACCAAGCAAAATTAAGTTTCTGCCCATCACCATTTATCTACCCTATACCCTCCTCCACCTCTCCTCATCCCCATCCCCTCTGAAATCACTACACTGTTGTCTGTGTCCATGAATTTTTCCCTTTTTATCTCAATCCCACCACTCCCCTCTTCCCCCATCCTCCTTACCCCTATCCTGAGAGCTGTCAGTTGCTATCTATGTGTCTTGTTTGTTTGTTAATTTAGATTCCACATACGAGTGAAATAATATGGTATTTGTCTTCTTCCTACTGGCTTATTTCATTTAGCATAAAAAAATTCAAATTTGTGTGATGCTAAAGTGTTTTCAACTAAGTGTTAACACTTCAATGACACACTATATAGCATGGACAGCACTGATAACTATGGGAACTGTAGTCAAGCTATTTTTATAACCAGGAACAAAATAGATTCTGATTTTGGAATTCTCATAAATATCAGCAGTTCTCATAAGCTGGATTATAATTTACTAGTGCTTAACATTATTTGTTATGTGAATGTAAAAGTAGCAGCAGGGTTTCAGCAAAAATTAGCACAGGCTATAAACAGAAATTACAGCAATTAGGAAACGAAAAAGTAGTTCATAAATGCCCAAAGACTGCAGGTGTATTCTATAAATATATTGGAAAATATCTTACTACTCTGTTTTATTGAGAAGGGGGCATATGAACTTTTTCATACTGGGCTTACTTTTAATAGACTCCTCATTATATTCCCTAATCCTTCCTCAACTAGGAGGAGTTCTGATTCTGATGGATTAGAAGCAGAGATTTTTGGCAGCCATCCTATATAATAAAAGGCTAAAATGAAATTAACCAAACTGCAGAATGACAGGTAGCTATGACGTGCACTGACCACCAGGGGGCATATTCTCAACTCAGGAGTTGCCCCCTGGTGGTCAGTGTGCTCCCACAGGGGAGGGCCACTCAGCCAGAAACCGGGCTCATGGCTGACGAGTGCAGTGGCTGTGGCGGGAGCCTCACCCGCTTCTGTGGCAGTGCTAAGCTCTCAGGTGTAACATCCCTCGAGGGCTCCTGGACTGCAGGAGGGCTCAGGCTGGGCTGAGGGACCACCCCCGACCAAATGCATGAATTTTGTACACCGGGCCTCTCTGTCTCTCTCTCTATATATATAAAGTCAGCAACCAGAACACTGTAATGACCAGAATGACCATTCACTATGACGCCCAATGCTTGCCCCCCCCCCCCCAATAAAGGGTGAGGTCAACTGGCCAACCTTCTGTAGTCCCTCCCTCCACCTGGCCCCAACCCAATTGGCCAGCGGCCCCTCCCCCCAGCCAGCTCTGCCCCCAAATGCCGCCCCCCACACAATTGGGGTCGGACCCTGCCAGGCAATTGCCCATGGCTTCTTACCCCAGCTGGCCCAGCCTTGATAGGTCCCAATCAGGGTGGGCGGGCCGGTCAACCTTCTGCTGTTTCCTCCTCTGACAGGGCCAGCGCAATCTACCCCAATTGGGGCCAGGCAGGCTGGACCCCACCCGTGCATGAATTCGTGCACTGGGCCTCTAGTATTTTATAAAGCACACGGTCACCTTAAGGGTGGATCCACCTCCCCCCTTTCTAATTCATTTCTC